TATACCTGTTTATACCCATCAGGTACATAGCTATGGTCAGCTTACGAGAGTTAAGCAACAGGCTGTGCGATAACACCTAAACGGATGGATAATCTTTACAAACTCTCCAATAAAATATCATAATTGCCTTAAATATATTTTAACGCCCTTCGAATATCTGTACAATAAATTCATTTTTACCCTTCTACTAATCTTAAAACAAAATACAAATATTGTCATTTTTCAAAATTCTTGAACAATAAATATTGATACTCTTATCCGTTTGACATTTAGATATCTATTATTATCCCTAATCCTAAACGTTATGTATCATGGATTACTGAAAACTAGAATAACACATATATATATTTTTATTCTTAATAAATTCCTCGAGGTAAGAGTGTCTGTAATGTAATCGAGTGCTCGCTTGTTGATACCAGTTTCATTTAGTCTCTAGATAATAATAATTCATCCGCTATTCGGGAAAGCAACACTATCACAAAGGTCAGACGAAAGAGGCTTAAGGTTTCTGGCACAAAAGGGATTAATTTATACTTTCCAGTCCTCGAATTACACTGCTCTCCTCAATGGACAACTATTTCCTTTGTTCGCTTTATCTGATCAGACATTGATCCACTAAATTCTCATACTACCTGCTTCCGGTTTTCCTTAGAATTTCTTTTTCGTTATTTTTGTTGTTGTAATCGATCCCATTTTCTGACACAAAAGTGTTATAATTAGTTTCTCTCCACAAAGAAAACCACTATTTCATGGTTTTACAAAATTACAATTCGCATTTGATGCATATTTTATAACAATTAAACCATTTCAATTCATGTTTTTATTATTTAGTTGACAATTTCTGCAGCAATTTCTACTTGATTCATTGTTTTTTTTTTATATTTGCTATTTCACAACAAAAGGAAAAGTTTTGTCAATCAATTTATTATTTGGAAAAAAGACAATAAAAATATATTTACATTAAATTTTGAAGACTTTCACTTATAAATAATAGTTGTCGTTTATAGTTTAAATTTCTATTTACTGTTTACAACATATAACATAAAATTTATTTATTTGTTTAAATTTATTATTGAAATAAAGGAAATATAAGTAAAAAAAAAATCAATTTATTTACAATTTCAGAATGTAGAAAATATTGAAATAATTAAGTAAAGATTTTTAGTAAATGGAAATTGAATTGATAATTATTATATTACATATATTTGTACTAATAAGGTGTTGATTGTTTATAATACAAGGAAGGTGTGCGAATCCAAGTAAGGATAGGTTCATCATCCTGATCCATCCTGTATACATATACAAGAATCTTTTATTATATTATTTTTTTGGCTTGGCGATTTCGGTTCGTAGAAACGTGACCCCTGATTACGAATTCTTCGCAGCTGTCGCGTTTTTCGCGATCCTCCTGCATACCAAAATCCAAAGATATCCGCGTGAATGAAACAAAAGTCCGACAACAATCCCGATTTATTATTTCATTATTTACTGATTTACAGCCGGTTTCAATCAATCACATCTTCGTGAATAAGCTCGTGCATTAGGCGTAATTAACTAAAAAAAAAAATAATTATATAATACGATAGTTTGTAACGGTGTTTTGGAAAGGCTCATTGTCTCTGAACTACTTGCACACGGAATTTGAATAACCAGTTCGGAGTGAAAAAGGAAGGAAAAATTGTATTTTTTTATTTTACAAATCTTGTTTTGGGTAATGGAATGTTTTGACGTGCTAAATGCGTGGTGTTTGGTGCAAGTAAATCACCTTAAGGTTTCTGTTTATGTTTATGTGTGTGTGAAAAGTCAAGGTGGAACAAATATTGAGTAGTTTCGAGTGCAAACAAGAAAACTATTTGGATCCGTTTGTTATTGTTTGCTCGGATCCTTTTCCATCTCTGGAAACTCTCTCACACTCGGATTGTGGGAGCCACCAAAGAAGTTGTTTGATGAACTATCGGAACGTAATGTCTTCGCATTTGCGGTCTTCTTCTCAACTCTTTCGCGCGGAATGCTGTTGGTGGTTCTCGACGAAGAGGAGTAGAGATAAGCTGTAATTTATTTTGGTTTTGGATGGGATGGGATGAGAGAAAGGGCAGACGTCGGGTGACAATTTCCAGAACACCTGCGTAATCTCCGAAAGCGCCATAAACGTCAGGTACCAAAAGCCAGTTGTTGTTGGGGGCCCTTTAAACCGCGCGCGCTTTGATGGTGGTACCCCGATGAGGTTGACGAGGCGAAGAAGAAAGAGGAAGGAGAGAAAATGTTCCCTGTGCACACCGAGGGACCCAAGAAAAAGTGGGAGCAAGAGCTTTGGCTTCTTGAGGAATATTTTCTCGTGCAGAGTAGACGTGCGTTTCGTGATTGGATCTAATTTTTCGGTGTTATTCATATATAGTGTGTGTGTAGCAATAAAGTGGTATAATCATAACAATATAAGTTGGATAAAAATAGTGAACCATGGGATTTTTAAGCGCCAAGGTGTGGTGAAATTTATTATTTAATATTGTTGTTATTATATATTACATATAGATAGACGTGCATACATCTACTGCGGACTCGTTATTAATTCAGCATTTATTATGCAACACACCTTGATATTATTATTGCCTTTTTTTTCTCATTCTCTCTCTCGACATACACACAC